TGCCAAGCGACGAAAACCCAACCCCGATGGCAAACACCGGGGGGGGGGTGCGGTCTATGGAGGGGGGGATGCGAAAATCAAGTATTTTAGTGGAACGCGAATAATTCCGAAGTTCCTGGTTCAACTTTGAGTATGACCCACAGCAGTAGTCTACACATGGTATATTTATCGATGACAACAAATTTTCCATCTCGAACGGGTACGCTTTGATTTTTTGTACATGCTTGGATACGAAGTTACTCAGTACCTGTAATTGTTTTGTTTGTTTCGGGGAAGGTATTCCTGCTGTACAGCAGTGTATTGAGCGAACGGTGGAACCCTCCTGCGGGTTTCTCAGTTAAACCTGCCCGCTTAGTTCCAATGTAAATGAGCAACCTACAGCGGTTAGAAGGCGTCGATATCGCGAAGGCGTTGGCCGCACCAGAGCACCGCACCGTCGAAAAAAGCCGTCGAATATTTATCGGGAAGTAGCCCTCCGGGCCGTCGTACGGTAGTGCCTGACTTGGACCTACTTCGTCTTATTTTGGGGTGGTTATACATAAGACAACAGGCAAACCTCCTGTTTTGTGTGACACGTGTTTTACTTTGTTTGGACAATAACAGGCGACGAGGACGGGTTGGCGTTTTCGTGGTTCCAGGCGTCGACCGACGTTTCCGGGCTGGTGCTAAGGGGGGCACACCGCTTTGGCTACGTCCTCTCGCACGTCGGGGGGCAGCGGCTGTTCAAGGACACGCGACAGCGCTTCTTCGTCCTCCTCGACCACTACCTGTGCTTCTTTGACTCGCACTCCCCTGAGGTGCGTGGGAGACAGACGGCAGTCCTGCTGCCACCTGCTGTGTCACTCACCCGACTGCTTGGATTTTGGGTTGAAACGCTGGGTTAGGTTGCGTGTGGAACTAGAGATGCGCTTCCGGTGCCTGGCAGAGAACAAGGAACAGATGCAGCGTTGCATCGCTGTCTTCATTCGGGGGCGGACCGAGCACTTGTGTCGGGCGATGATACTGCTCGCAGTAGGAGACGCCCACAAACTTATCTCTCCATTTTTTTTTTTTTCCTTTTATATGTTGCTGTCGCTTCTGGCCTCAAAAAGCCGAAACGAATGCCAACCAATGCCCCGCTTGTTGGCTCGTTTTGTTTCTTCCCTCTCGCAGGCCCGAATGAAAGGCAGCATCGACCTGGACAAGGCGTACTGCCACATCGAGCTGCTGCCGAGGCCTCCAGAGAGCGTCGACACCATCCTTCAGGTCGGTGGCGGCGGCGGTAGCAGCAGCGAAGGCGACGAGCACCGCGTGGAAGTCACGCGCAGGACGGACGAGTTCTCCATGGTGCTGTGCTTCTCGAGCGCGACTTCCCTCTCGGACTGGATGAAGTCCGTCTTCGACGTCCAGCAAAGAAAGGCCACTTTCAGCCCGCTGAGGCACGGTACCGGCGGCGGCGGCGGCGGCGACGGTATCAGTAGCGGAGGCGGAGAGTCTAGCAGCGATGGCTCCGACTCGTCGTCCGATCTGCCCGTGTCGCTTCCGCGCGCACAAACCTACATCAACAGCAGAGGCAACAATAGCAGTGGGATCGCTAGGAGCGGGAGAGGGAGCGAAGGGGGCGGGGGCGGGGGCGGGGGCGGGGGCGGTATCGGCACCGGTAACAGGCAGGGCCGACGCGGTGGCGGCCGTCGAAGGGGGCGCCGTCGCGGGACGCTCGCCTCCCCGCCGCCGCGTCCGCCGCGGGGGGGAGGGGGTGGGGGGCTCCGCGGCGTACCCTCCTCATGGGCGGACGATATCGACATCCGCGACCACGAAAGAGGAGGAGGGAGCACGGGAGAAACCGAGGATGCCCCGCCGTTACGGCTGCGGCCGCGCCACATGTCAACGCCGACGTCTTCGGCGGTGAGGCTGGGGAAGGCGTCGGAGCGGCTCGCGGGCCTCCCGAGGGGGGGGCGCGCGGCCGGCAACAACGCCTCCTCCTCCAGCAGCAGCGTCAGCGGCTGCAGCCTGGACGAGTACGGCGCATTCACGACGGCGCAGGCGAGCATCTACGAGGGCTGGACGCGGGGGCTCCAGCCCCACGGCTGGGGGCGGATGGTTTTCGCCAACGGCGACCGCGTGGAGGGCTGGTGGGAGCACGACGTCCTGCACGGGAGCGCGGAGTACACGAGCCGGCAGGAGGGCTGGACCTACAGCGGTGGTTTCGAGAACGGGCAGAGGCACGGCCCCGGGAGGCTCATGTTCTCGTCGGCGGGAGGCGGCGACGTCTGGGACTGCGAGTGGGACCGCGGGGTCGTCGCGCGGGGTTCCCGTGGAACGCACGCCACGGCGGACGGGGAGCTTTACCAGGGGGGGTGCGGGCCCTCCGCGGCGGACCCCGCGATGCCGGTGAGGTCGGGGCAGGGGCGGCTCCGGCGGCGTGACGGGGACCAGGTGGACACGCGGTTCCGCGCGGGCAGGGCGGTGGACGGGGCGAAGGGCGTGGTCAGGTTCCGGAACGGGGCAATATTTTTCGGGGAACTGCAGGAGGCCCGGCCACACGGGTGAGAGATTGAAACAGAGAGGAGGGGGGGGGGGGGGGGGG